CATGTTGTGAATCTTTGTGAGGCAACCTCTGTGGGGCAAGTTGTCGGTGTTCGCAGAGGGGGTGTCAAATCCACTGCCCGCGCAATCATCCCACTCACCCGCCCGCAACTTGGCTTTGGAAATCCCAAACGGCGGCGACTGCGCTGACTGCTTGGCGTTGGCTAGCGCATCGCTGCGGCCGCGCAAGAGCGCAAGCTCGCTCCAGCCAGCCTGGCGCGACCGAAGCGGCCGCGGCCGCGCTGACTGCTGGGCAGTTCCCAGTGCGTCCGGCAGGCCGCGCTGACGTGCGCGCGCGTTTCAGTGCGAGTCGGTGACTCGGGCGGGCGCGATGTCTTGGCGACGTCGGCAGACACGATGCCGGTAATAGCGATAATGGCGACGATGGCGACGGCAAGGCCAATGACGGCGCCGATGATGGTCACGCTAATGACGGTGATGGTGTCCACGTGTGTGTGATGCAAATTTTGACAGGCTTTCGACATGCGCGGGCGGCCGACGGGCGCGAGTGGCCCGCATGGTTGTATTTGACAGGGATCGTGTCCCCTCAGCAAGCGGGCAAAGGCGCTCAAATAATTTCGACATGCGCGCGCGAGAGGCCCGCTTGGTCGCATTTGGTGGACGTGTTGGAGGAGACCTCGCACGAGAGCGCGCGCAGACTCTTGAAACCTCCTGTTGCAAAACCATTGTGTTAACTGCGTTTTCGGGGGCCTCGGTATCGACACCCTTACGACACCTGAAATTTTTGATGGATGACGGCGTGCGCCCGCGACGGCGCGTGCGTCGACTTTGTCAAATTTTCTGAAAGGAATTCGTACCTGCAAGCAAGCGCGCATCAGTGTATTGATATCGGCATGCGCGCGCGAGGGTCCCGCTTGCCAGCATTTGAAACTATTGCAGAACTATTTTTTATATAAACACTTTGCATGAGCGCGCGAACTTTTTCAAACCAAACATGTTGCCAAACATTTTTGCCAGCCTCCTTGCGTGTTGGGTCCGCGTCTTGAATTCTCAGCCCCTTGCGTCTCCTTCTCCTTTTTCCCCCCCTTCTCTCTCCACTGCCTCATCCTCATCGCTTTCCCTCCTCGGATTCCAGCACGCCCTCGCATGTTTTGTGGCCCCATAGAGGAGCCCCACATACGGCCCCACTGGGTGCGTTCGCATGGCTTCCCCGCGCCCATGTCGGCGCGTCCGTCGCGAGGATCGTGCCCCGTGGGGGGCTGCGCCGACAGCGTCCTCGCGCCCATTTCGGCACACCCCTTCGGCGCGCCCCTCTGGAGGATCGTGCCCCACAGGGAGCTGCACCTAAGGCCATAGCGGGTGCGTTCGCATGGCGTCACCATGCCAATTTCGGCACGCCCCTCACGAAGATCGTGCCCTTCAGGGAACTCTACCCATGGCCCCGGTGGGTGCGTTCGAATGGCGTCCCCGCGCCCATGTCGGCACACCCCTCACGCGTTTCCTGCCCCCAGGAGAGCTCTGCCCGCAGCCCTGGTGAGTGCGCTCGCATGGCGTCCCGACGTCCAATTCGGCACCCCCCCCACGAAAATCGTGCCTTCCAGGGAGCTGTAGCCGCGGCCCCAGTGGGCGCGTTCGCATGGCGTCTTCGCGCCCATTTCAGAATGCCCCCGCGAAGTTCTTGCCCCGCAAGGAGCTGCACCTACGGCCCCAGTGGGTGCGTTCGCACGGCGCCCCCGCGCCCATTTCGGCACCCCTCGCGCGTTTCCTGCCCCCAAGGGAGCTCCACCTATGGCCACAGTGGATGGTTTCGCATGGCGTCCCCGCGCGCGTCTCGACCCCCCCGCACGTTTGGCGCCTCCCAGGGAGCTCCACTCATGCTCCCGATGGGTGGGTTTGCACGGCGTCCCCGCGCGCATTTGGGCACGCCCGTCACGTGCGTCCTGCCCCCCCGTGGAGCTCCACCTCCAGCCCTGGTGGGTGCGTGGCGTCACCGCGCCCATGTCGGCACGCCCCTCGCACGTTGCCTGCCCTGGCGTCCGCGCCCCCCTTTCGGCGCACCCCTCACGTGTTTCCTGCCCCCCCCAGGGAACTCCGCCGATGGCCCCAGTGGGTGCGTTACCATGGCGTCACCGCGAGCATCCCAGCACGCCCCTCGGCGTTTCCCGCTGGCGTCCCTGCGTCAAGTTGGGTACGACGCCCCTCACGTGTTCCCTGCTCCCTAAGAGGTCCACCTATGGCCCGTGTGGGTGCGTTCGCGTGGCGTCGTGAGATTACGTGGTTTGACGTCTTTGGCGAAGCGTTGATGGGTACCGCAGGCCCCTCGACGTATTCTTGTGTATTAGGTTCGGTGGTCTTGCTCATAGTTGCCTCTTTTTGAAAATGGGTTTGGTTTTTCGCCAAGCATGTTTAATGTTGTCGGGAATCTCGATCCTGAAATCCTTACGGAACCAAGCGGTTTAATAATAATTGGGGCATTCGCGCGCGACGACGCGCGCACGTTGACATTGTCGCGTTCTTTTTGTGTGCACGGGATATCTGAATGAGAACTGATGGCTATTGATGAACGAGTTCGCGCGCGTAATATTGTTTGACGAGGATGAGGGGGGGCGTCGGTAACGGTTGGGCTGGGATGGTATCACCTCATATTTCAAATGCACGAGGGGGCAAAATCGTATGTAAATCGTGAAACCCAGGGAAGTACAATCTCTGTGTTGCAAGTCTGTTCGTAATGAAATGCCAACTCCACTGACCGCGCAATCATCCCGCCCACCCGCCCGCAACTTCGTTTGCAAAACTCATGCGGCGGCCATTGCAAAGACTGCTTGGCGCTGGCTGGCGCATCGCTGCGGCCGCGCTAGCGTGCGCAAGCTCGCGCGCAGAGTGGCCAGCTAGTCGGGCGCGACCGCCGTGGCCGCGGTGGCGCTGACCGCTGGAGACGTCCCAGCGCGTTCCACAGGCCGCGCCAGCGCGCGCACGGACACTTCAGTGCGAGTCGGTGACTCGAGCGGTCGCAGTATCATGGCGACCTCGACAAGGGCTGGCACGATGATAATAAAAGCGATGCTGGTGGCGATGATGACGATGACGACGGAGAGGCCAATGACCGCGCCGATGCTGGTCACGCCGATGACGATGATGATGTCCACGCGTCGGTGTGATTAAAGTCTTGGAAAGATCTCGATACGCGGGCGCAACCGACAAGCGCGGGTGGCCCGCGTTGCAGTATTTGACGGGGGCCGTGCCCCTCTGCAAGCGCGCGAAGGCGGTCGAATAATTCGGACATGCGCGCGAAGTGCCCTTTTGGTCGCATGTGAGGGGCATCTGGCAAAATACCTATGGCTTTCTCATGATTTCGCAAGGGCGCGCGCGCATTTTTTGAAGTGTTTCGAACATTCTGTTGCACACCCATCTGTTCTTTCAATGTTTTCGGGGCACTTGAAGCCGAAAACTATACGAATACCGAACTTTTGAAGGATGCCAGCATGCGCGCGACGACGCGGGCGTGTGCACTTCGCACAGTTTTGGCTAGAGATTCTTCAAAGTTTGTGATTTGTAATACAAGAGCGTCCTAGCGGAGATTGGAAGATTTGGCGAACATTTCCCGCTGGTTCTGGTAGCAAGCTGGGTAACTGGGTTCCCGGTTCCGGGGTCCCAACTTCCTGGTTATTAGTTCCGGGCCGATTTCGGTGGGTTTTGGGTTCCTGGGTTGGCGGTTCTGGGTTCCCAGGTTCCTGGTCATTGGTTTCGGTCCGATTTCGGTAGGTTCCTTGTTCCCGGGTTTCCAGGTTCCTGGTCGATCTCCTTATCGATCTCTTTATCGATCCCATTTCAAACCATTCACTGATTGGGGTTCTTCTCTGGTGTAGTGTTTTTTGCTGCAGATGGTGGGGGGGGACATACCGTGCCCAAAGCCCTACGGTGCTGTGCTGCGCTGCGCCGAGCTGTGTGGAATTGTGCCGTCTCGTGCTGGGTTAAGCGGTGCTGCCTTCACTTGTGTTGTGTATACAGGCGTCCTTGGCATCCGGATTCTGAGCTAGCTGATCCAGATCTTCAGTTCGAACTGTCTGAACGCATGGCTCTCCCAGATTTGGTCGCAGTCGAAAAGTGCGGGGCGCTTAACCAACTCGAACTCAATATCAATTTCAAGTCCGATACGGGGCGATACGAAATGGGGCGAATCCGAACCGAGACGCCACGAACTGAGACGAGACTGCACGAGTCGAGACAGGACGATTCGAGACTGGGACGATCCGAATACCTTTCGGCTCACTTTTGTGGCGTCTCTTGACGAGCGACCCGCACTCCGAGAGCCAAGACAGCTTGTAAATTACCAGAAAGGCGTTCGCTCCCAAAACCACGATCCTGTGGAACATTGTGAATCAGCCGCTCTCCCATGGCCACGATCCCTCGTAGGTTGCGCTGCATCCGCGCTCCCATGGCCACGATTCCTTGTAAATTACACGGCCTCCACGCTCCCCAAACCAGAGCAAGACCACGATCCCTGGTAGATGACCCTGCGCCTGCACTCCATCTGCCCCCATCCTACTGGTGAATTACTTTGGCTCTGCGCTCAGTGGACACGATCTCAAGTGTAAATCACGCTGAGTCCGCGCTCCAGGGGCGCGATCCCTAGCGAATTACGCTGAGTCCGCGCCCCAACGACAACCGCGCTCCCTCGTGACTTGCGCTGGGCCCTCGCTCCTCGGGCCACGATCCCTCGTAGACTAATTGCGTGGGTCGCGCTCCCAGGGCCACGATCCCTGGCCAACGCCACGACTCCTTATGAGTTGCCCTAGGTCCGCGCTCCCACTGCCGCGCGATGCCTTGCAGAGTACCCTGGGCCTGCGCTCCCAGGACCCCGATCCCTCGCGAACCATGCGGCGTGCGCGCTCCCCGGGCCACACCCCCTCTTAACTTGCGCTGGAACGCCTGCGCAGGGGGTGTACGCCACGGGGGCTCCAAAGAGCGTGTTCCAGGACCGAGCACGTTGTCAAAGTGTCAGCCGGTGCAACTCCAAGGACCGAGCGCAACAAAGCGAGCGCCTTTCTGCCTCGATGTCGCGCGCGTGGAGCTTACTCGTGAAACAACACAGATAGAAGACAATCCCATAGAGCGTCAAGCCGGACAGCACGCACAATGCCTCGGAAGGTGAATACACAAATGAAGTACAACTACTTTGATGCTGACGTCCATGAGCTAAGCAACGCACAAAGAGAATACCTTGAAGCGGAAGTGGCACGATGACAACAACGCGCTGGGAACACGAATATGTGGCATAATAGAAAGATAGAGGCAACATAAGGCGATGAGCAGTGACATGGGGAGGGCGAAGCTGATGTGAGGACATCCTTCGCGCTGCTCACTTCCTTCCTGCTGCTGGCTATCAGCCGTTACGTCCGTCGGCTCTGATCGTCGCGTCTCTCGCCGCATTGGAGGCTGGCACTGGTCGTCGCTCCCTACTCTCGCGGCCAACTTCCCTCGCCTTCCCCTCCCTGGCGGCGCGACCCGGGGGGAAGTGAGCGGGGGCTTGCCTTCTCAGAGGGCGGCGGGGCTTCCCAGAAGCCCTCCAGCCTTCGGAGAAGCCGTCGCTGCCTTCTGAGAGGGTTGAAGAAACTTCTCAAAGTCCTTCGGAGCCTTCCGAGACGGCCCGCTCCCTCTGCCTCTCCCCCCTGTGCGCGTTGCCGAAGCCTCCTCCTCCTCCTCCTCCTCCCGCTCCTCCTCCTCCTCCTCCTCCTCTACTCCGCCTCCTCCTCCTTCTCCTCTTCCTCCTCCTCCTTCTCCTCCTCCGCCTCCTCCTCCTCCTCTTCAATTCCCTTTCCGTATGACAACTCCTCCTTGGTCGCACCCCGAGGCCTGTCGGAAGGGCGGCCCAAGCGTTTCGCCTGAGGCTTCCTTACCACTTATGATCCTGTAGCTTACAAGGTGGCAGCAGCTTCAAGCATGGAGGGCGGGCGGCTTTAAACATGTGGCTCTCGCCTTCGCGCCGCGAACACTCGCCTGAAACATTTGCAAGCATTTCACGGACGGAGGGCGGGTCGTTTTCAACATGTGGCTCTCGCCCTAGCGCCGCGCGCACTAAACATGTGCAAGCAGCTTCACGGATGGAGGGCGGGTCGTTGTCAATCTGTGGCTCTCGCCTCAGCGCCGCGCACGTTCGTTCGAGACAACTTGCAACAGCTTCGCGGAGTGAGGGTGGTTCCTTTTCAAATTGTGGCTCTCGCCGAAGCGCCGCGCGCATTCCAGGGTCAACTTGCCAGACATGTTTTTTTTGGAAGGACTCATGACTGTCAGGGCGCAACAGTTGCGTTGATTCGCGGTGTTGAAGTCCCATGAGTGGTGTTCTGGCACGATTCAGGATCGTCAAGACGACATGGTCAGGTTGATTCTAGGCGTTGGGACCCCTAGAACGGTGTTCTGGAACGCTTCAGGATCTTCAGGATGGGGCATTTTCCTCACTGGAAATTGCATGGGGCCTATGAAGAGGGAGCTTGGAGGGAGGGTGTATTCCAAATCGTTGGTGGGTCTTGGGTTTACACTGTTACTTCTCCTCCTCCTCCTCGCCCTCTCCCTTTTCCCTGGTACGTCTTCTCGCACAGCCGATGGCATCCCAGAAGCCGACCGTTTACAGTTACCCCTACACCCGCTACGCCAATCTACCGTTACGCAAGATCAGCGGTTGACCCCATGCTACCATCTCCCTTGTCGTATTTGTCCCAACCCATCTCATGACCTCCGCTTCCGAATCAATAGATCATGACGGCTATGCGATTCACTGAACGCTACTTCGGAATCAAATCGCCAGCCGAAGGAAACAACGAAGGAATAACACGGGCTGGCTCAGACTGGAAACACGCAAACTGATGAACAAGGGTCGGCAACCGTACCTAAGCGCCGGGCCAGCATGAACACGCGGCAGAATGCAGGCGGGTCGCTCGCAAGCTCAACGTTCGCCGCCAACAGCCGTCCAACTTGTGGGGGCACATCAAACGAAGCCGAGGGTGGAGGCGAGGCGCACGGCGAAGCAGGAGCGAAGGCACATGCAATTTCATACGGTCGGGAACTTTTGCTCCGCGCATTGCGGCGGCGGCCCCGGCGACACGCCATGCCTCGCAAGAGACTAGCGTGCGGCTCCTCCCCGTGTGGCGCGAGGCTGGGAACGGCTCGGGAGGTTGAGGCTTAGAAATTGCGACGAGCTTAGCTTGTCGCGCCGAAGCGTAGTGAGCCAGAACCGGCGGCGCAACATGCTAAGCCACAAATCCGACCGTAAGACTGGGACTAACGTGAACCTCTGCCTGCTCCAACCCAAATGCTGCTAGACGAACTGGCGAGGACATGTATCCATTCACCCATATAGGAAGTCTACAGGTGAACGTCGCGTGTGCTGATGGGTGATGGGGTGCCTGCCGAGTTTGCACTGTGCGGCAGGTTTCCTTCATGCGCTCCAGGTCATCATCTGCTGAACATCCGTGGAGCTTTTTTCCTTCTCTTCCAAGTTCACATTGCTGTGCTGTTTCTCAAATGCTCCCTCTTTCCATTCTCCCCCCTCAACGTGACGCGTCTTGCGTCTTTTGTGATGCCGATGACACCTGGGAAACGAGCCGCAAATCTGTCCCCGCACGTGTCGGCCAGATAAGCAAATGGTAAACACACTCGAGCCAGCGTCACCGCGTACCAGACCTCAGAGGAGTAAGCGGAGGATGGAGGACAGGGAAGACGTGGAGGAAGAGCAGTACGTGGAGAAGGAGCAGGCGGGGAAAGAACAGCGGAAGGTGGGAAGAAGTAAATTAGCCAGGCCCCATGAGCGGTGCTCGTTCAGCAACGCACAATTCTCAAGCTAATCATGCACCAGCGAAACACACGCGTGCTTTTTCCAGGTGGACTCTATCTTCGCTCTCTTCTACGAGGCTCTTCCGACGCAACTCGCGATGTCAGTTCTGGAGCTTCATTCGAAATCAATGCGGCGAAGGGTCGCCAGATCACCCTAAACATGTTCTATTTGCCACAACTCCTCCGCCTCCTGCGCCCACCCATCTGATACACGTCTTGCGAAGGGCGACGAGATCCTGGAAACGCCGGGTCGTCATAGGCATTGTGTGCGTATGAAACTGTGATATCAAGTGACATGATAATGGTGCCGACCAGAATCGTGCAGCCACACAGGAGGAGCCTTCGGGAATGCCGCGACCAATGAAGCACTGAGGAGGGGGGGAGATGATGGGAGGGGCTGGAGCTTACCGTCGTGCGCTCCTGGAATTCATCGACGGCTCATCTGCCGCCCCTCCTGGAAGTCCCAATCGGGCACTCGCGCGTGGACCGCGACCCTCTCGTCGCGGCTGCGCGCGAGAGCTCGGGCGTTACTGCCTGCGTCGTCGTCGTCGTCGTCGTCGTCGTCGTCGTCGACATCGTCCGCGTCGTCGTCGCCGTCGTCGTCGCTGGCCTCGTTGTGACCTCTGCCACCTCTTGGTCGCGGCGTTGGCGGTCGCTCGGCGCGGGCGGGCCTGGGTCGGGCCGTGAAGTGGCAACTTCGCTCCGAAGCGGCGGGGAAAGACGGGGGCGGCCGCGGAAAGGGGACTGAGGGCGGGCGCTGCGCTCAAAACGTGAACTCCTTGACGCCGGTACGAAGGCCCAAGCTCTGGGCAGGAGTCATGCGGCCCGTGACCTCGGACACGTAGACATTATCGTCTGCATGGTCGTCGACCCCCGCTCGTCCCTCTGGACCGTGGGCCTGCGCCGCTCAGACGGCCCACGGCGCGCTGGCGCCGCGACCCAGGCAGCGCTGTAGCGGCACGTAAGCTTTTCGACACCTCCTCTTCCTCCCTCTCGTCCTCCTCCGCGTTCTCCTTCTTCGCCCTCGTCCTCGTCCTAGTCCCTCTCCTACTCCTGCTCCTCCTCCTCCTTCTCCTCTTCCTCCCCGAGCTATATTCAATCATGATTCCCTTTCGCTTCGCGCTGAATTTTTAAAACATATTGTTCTGGGACCCGTGTGATCGCAATAGCTCCCTGTTTCGCGGGTGTGCTCTGCGTCGGCTCGACCACTGTACTTTTATGACAGATCTCTCAATTCTTGACAATCTGGCGCAGCGAGGATCGGATGTGCCGGTCAGGCGCGCGGGAGTGGAGCTGTGCCAGCAGGGGGCGGGCAACCTCGGTCTTGTACCCCAATTATGTAAATCTTATCCGGCTAAGCGGGACAGTTTGCTGCGTGGAGCTTCTTCCAAGCAGAAGTTCGGAGCAGTCTCGAAAGTCGGTTCGAAACAATAGATGTCGGTTCGACACAATAGAAAGCTGAGCGCTTCGTGCGGGACTTCCCCGAAAAGCAAATTCGAAGCATATTTGATCCCAGTTCGGGACAATAGAGAAGTGAACGCTCAGTGCGGGACTGCCTCGAAAAGCAGGTTCGGACCAGGTTCAAACCCGCTTCGAAACAACCGAAAAGTCAGCGTTTCCAGCAGCAGTGGCAAAGTTGGGCCACACTTGAATCACGCCCATGCTGTCGTAATTCGACCGCTGGCGGCCGAATCGGACCTGGATCGAGTTGCACTCGGCGTCGGAGTCGGCCTTGCGTTAAATCCTATCAGACGGTCTTCCGATAAGGATTTGCCAAATCGTCTGATCAGCACCTCAGCGTGGAATTCCGGCACCCTTGACCCGCAGCGTGGCCAGATGGGTGGTGTCGACAGCTGCTCAGCTGCCTCCTATGCTCCTGCTCCTCGGCATGCAACTTCCGCCCAGCTTATGCACCTCGCCCTTCTCATCCCTAGTCTTAGGTCGGGCAAATCCCCCAACAGGGGGATTTTGGACGAAGAATGAAAAATGCATCAAACATACACAAACATATTCCAAACATGCTCAACAAATGGTCCCCGTACTATTTTTAAGAACTATTTTTGAATATTCCTCCTGTTGGGGGGACTGTCCCGACTGAACCCTAGCCTCCGCACGCGATTCCATTTCTGTGCTGCTGCTGCTGCTCCTTGGTCTTCCCAGTGAAAGAGCGATGATCGTATCAGAGAGCCTATCCGCATATGCCCAACCCCTGGGGGACAGCGCCCGCACTATGAGTCGGGATGCCCCCCAGCGACGCGTGCGCTTCAAGGGCAGCGCGCAGTGAGGTTAGAGGTAGAGCTATGCAGGTGTTGCCACCGGCCAGGTCTGCACCATCGTACACACCCAGGGCAGTGCAGACAGCACTCCGTCCACATGCACGCGGGCTCCCGACGCTGCTGCCCTGGACCCTCCACCGCGCCCTCTTTTGAACAGTCCGGAGCGCCGACTTTTTCGTGTCCGCGGCGCTCCGGCGGAGGCCACGCGCCGTGCAAACTTTGGAGGCCTGGAGATGGGCACCAACACCAACACAGGGGGTTGCCTTAATAGGGGGAAGATGATCCTAGACTTCGGTGTTGCTGGTAATATTTCGGCCACCTTGATCGGTATCTTCTTCCCTCGGTGGAGGCACACCGCCGATATTGGTTTTGGTGTCAACCTCTAGGCCTGCGAAAACTGGCGCAAAAAGCTCTGGACGGGTGGGGAAGCTGGCAGGGAAGCCTAGGAGAAAACAGGCACGACAGGACCCCGCCAGATCCTTTGACTCCCTGTCTCTGCCACGCGCTCTCCTGAACTGTCCCTGGTGGCAACGCTGCACAGAGAGAGGGCCGCCGCCGATGCCACCGTGCGTCGCCAACCCTGCCCCTCCCCCCCCTCCCCTTCCCAGGGCCGACTCTTGGGACAGATGCGGGCGGGGCAACAGCGCGGACGAGGATTCGAAGGAGGAGGAGGAGGAGGCGGAGGAGGAGGTGGAGGAACACGAGGAGGAGGAGGAGGAGGAGGAGGAGGAGGAGCACGAGGAGGAGTAGGAGGAGAAGGAAACGAGGAGGAGGAGGAGGAGGAGGAGGAACGAGGAGGAGGGAGGAGGAACGAGGAGGGGGAGGAGGAGGAACGAGGAGGGGGAGGAGGAGGAGGAGGAGGAGGAGCACGAGGAGGAGGAGGAGGACTTCTGCATCGCTCCAGGCAGGCCCAGCCACGGCGACGAAACGACGACTCGAGGCCTCGGGAGCGGGGGGCGCACTCTCCTCCCTGGAGGGAGCCCGCCCCTCCTCTCTCGCGCGTGTGCGTGGGCACAAGAGAAGGGGCATGCGTGGCAAACGGCCAGATTCACGAGCGCACGTGTAGTGAGAAAGAGAGAGAGAGGAGGAGGAGGACAGCAGGAACTCCTCCATCTCCTCCTCCTCCTGACCCTCCTGCTCCTCCTCCTCCTGCTGCTGCTGCTCCTCCTCCTCCTCCTCCTCCTCCTCCTGATGCTTCTCCTCGTTCCTCCTCCTCCTGCTGCTGCTGCTCCTCCTCCTCCTCCTCGGGGATGCCCAGTCACTGAAAACAAAGAGAGGTTGGGCAAGCCTGCCTCAATACTGCACTGGGCTCCTAAGGGGGTAGCACCAGGTCGACGCCGGGAGCGCTGGATGAGCTTGCCACGGCTGCGCCACGGCAACATCTGGCACTCTTGTTCTCTCCTCATACCATGTTGACAAGCTCGACGACGCAATCATGAAGCCACCGAACTACCGCAAACGTCGTGCACACTGATGGAACTGGAGCGTCCTGCGAACAATGGCCTGTCTTGAGACAAATGGCTCGTAGAAATAACCTCTCTCTGCAATAGCCCCTCTCACTCCTCCGCAACATCCGGCTCTCCTGGACATCGCGTTAACTGGACAAATAAGAGACATGATACGTCAGAGACAACCGTGCCAATGGCACATTTTACCAATCACTGCAGACTGGAGAGTGAGCGCCACAAGGTCGATGCGGGCAAATGCCCTCGCCCATGCGAGCGTCCGCCGTAACCCTGTACCGAACATCTGCAGCAAGCTGCACCGAAGCAGGAACGACAGAACAAACTGTTCCACAGGGACGGGGACCAACGCATTATCTGGAGATGTGACGCATCGGGCAATCAAATAAACGTGTTTGACCAAAGTAGAACATGAAGCGGACGCTTCTCTAAACTTCCAGCAATCTTGATGCATTGCGCCTCGAACCTATACTATGTACAACTGAGCAGGTAATACCAGGCGCGCGCATGCTCTGTAAAACATTTTGGGGTGCGCATTATGCTACATCAATGTAAACTTCCGCAGCGTGACGCTGCATTCCCACTCTAGCAGCGTGTACTTTCTGCTCAGACTTGCATGCAACTACAACACATACAACTTCAACTATGAAACTTCGGTAGGATATATGCAACCGAGCGCTGGAGCGACCGCGCAACAACACCTGCGCAATGATGCTGTGGCGAGGTGCCCAAGGAGAGCTAGAAACTCGTGCGAGAGTCAAAAACAATCGAGTCCGACAACCTGGAAGGCTGCGGTGTACTCCCCAGAGGGGACTGGCCGAAGCCTCGGGTGGCAATCGTGTGCAAACAGAGGCCAGCGGAAAAAGCGAAAGGCGTAAACGGTGCTGCTCGACAGACCAGTCCGCTTGCGCTGGCAGCTGTGGCATCAGAATCGCGACAGCTCGCCGCCGCTGTCCCCGTTCTGGGATTCTGGCGAAGATGTGGAAAAATACGTGCCCGTGGCCGCACAAGCGTAAATACTGGAGTTCACGTGGTGACCCATATGTAGATGAAAGCGCTGTTCTTCAAAATCAGGCGACCAATAAAAAATCTGAAATCTGGCGACCGATCCGACCCTGCATGCTGTGGCTCTTGTGCATACTTGGCAGGCCACCACGTGTGGCGCACGTTACAAGAACGACGCCGCTGTAGCCTAGTTAGTAGGACACCCCCAAGTGTCCAGTGGCAGTCGATGCGCCCTCTTTCGAACCAGGGCCAGCAGTGGCATAGGTGCGTTAGCAGGATGGCCGATGACCCTCGACACCAGTATCCACATGCGAGACCGGTGGCGATGTGGCGCGTGGCCTAATCTGATACCTCCTCTGCGGAGCTTAGGCGGTCGGGGGGTCTGAACTGGTTGGGACCCCAGAAAGTCGTCCAGGAGGGGCTGGACGAGGCTAAGTTCGCTTAGAATCTGTCCCTGGACCCCTCCCGGAGTCCATCTAGAGCAGCTTTTCAATCTGGATCCGTTCTCGACGGTCTCGGGGCCCGAAGACGGCCGCCAGAAGCCGAAGAAGGCAGAAGGCCTTCCCGAACCCAGAGCCTCGAACCTGCCCTTCCTGCTGGCCGGAACCAGTGCTGGGCCACCTCAGACCCCCATCGGGCTCCAAGCTGAGGGCTAGGTCAGGCGTGTCCTCCTACAGGCGGATTTTGAACGACAAATAAAACATAGCTTAAAAAATAACCCAAAAGAGTCAAACATACTAAGAAGAACGTCCCCAGACTATTTGTTGACCATTTTTGTTTGAAGATTCCTCCTGTAGAGTGAAGTGCCCGACTTAAGCTCAGGCCATACGGCCATACCCCTGAGATCTGCGCCGCGCCGTGCCAGTGCTGCTCGCTCCGACGTCTGGCGAGGGCGAGGCGCCGCGCCGGGCCGCCCAAGGTGCCCGCTCAAGCGAGGAGAACAGATTACGACGTGCGCTTTTTTGTTGTTGCTGTTTTTTGTGTCTTTCTTCTTCTTCTTCTTCTTCTTTTTAGAGTTTTTGTTGTTGTTGCTGTTGTTGTTGTTGATGTTGCTGTTGTTGTAGCTGCTGTTGTTGTTGATGCTGTTGTTGTTGATGTTGTTGTTGTTGTTGTTGTTGTGGTTGTTGTGGTTGTTGTGGTTGTTGTGGTTGTGGTTGTGGTTGTGGTTGTGGTTGTGGCTGTGGCTGTGGTTGTGGTTGTGGTTGTAATTGTGGTTGTGGTTGTGGTTGTGGTTGTGGTTGTTGTTGCTGTTGTTGTTGTTGTTGTTGTTGTTGTTGTTGTTGTTGTTGTTGTTGTTGTTGTTGTTGTTGTTGTTTGTTGTTATGTTCTCAGTTTTCTCTCACGTGGAGATCCAGCACCAAATCCGGCGCTCCTCTACGTGCGCTTCGGTGCCCTCGCGCGGCAAGAAGGGTGCCCGCTCCCTGCGACAGAAGCCTCTTCCCCGCGCTGCTCCACCTTGAATGGGAGGACTTTTGGCAGACTGGGCAGCCGGCCGAGGCAGAGAACAGGTCACGACGTGCACAGGAAGAAGGGTGCCCGCTCCTTGCGCGCCTGCGCAAGCAGAAATTTGGGTCAACGCAGCAGTCCAGTACCGTCAGGAGGAACTCTGACTTCTGCACGTCCGCGCTGTGAATTACACGAGGCAGATGTCGCGAACGCCTCCTCCCCTTGCTGCTCAACCGTGCATGGGACTTCGCAGACTGGGCACTCGACTGAGGCAGAGACTCTCTGGCGTTGGCACGCTAGCCTGGGCTGCTCCTAGCACGCACGCAACGGTCTGCCGCTCCTGCCGCTCCCCCACATCTGAGACGCCGCTGACACGGTAGAACGACGCTGCCATTCCTCCTGCTCTCGCCCCCCCGTGGTCCACCGTCTCGTCCTCGAAGATCAGGCGCAGCTTCTTCCTGCGATGGCGGGGCCTGGGGAGGGCTAGGCAGGCGAAATCCTGCGTGCCGCAGCCCCCTTCTCTGCTGGCGGCCGCGCTGGCGGGCTGCGGGATCTCAGGCGGCTCTGCGTGTCAGTGGCTGGCTGTTCCCCCCAGCGGCCAGTGACGCTGCAGCGAAGGCAGTCGGAGCCTCGCTCCCGCCGCGGACGTGGCCGTGCCGCGGATGAGGTCTTGGGGGTGACGCGTGATCTGCATTCCCCAGCACCGTAATTAGCTGCTTCCCTCGGCTCCGCCCGCTTGCAGGCCCGACGTCTCCGCCACGGCCTGCGCCGGGTCCTTGCGTCCCAGCGAGAGAGAGAGAGAGAGAGATCCCAGAAAGAGAAAGATAACGCTACATATAGAGACATTGAGGCGGGGCGCAGCCATGTCAATATCTTGAGCTTCGTGCTAGTTCTCAGCTCTCACGTGCGTGAAAAGGGGGATGCCAATTCCTCGGCTCGCTGGCCGCATGACGTCGGGTAGCCACAGCTCGAATGACGCGCCGTTATACCTGGCGTGCCGTGTGCTGCCGGTCGTCTCCTGTGCGCAGAGGGGGCCAGAGCCGCAGCTGCACCTTCTCAGTGAGCCTCGCCAATGAGTGGCCGTGCTTTTCATGGTCTGAGAAAGGTTTTTCTTGCAATAGAAAGCATCAGCGCGGAACTAGCTCGCGCGCGTGCCGTCCGCATTACGAGCCAAGTGGAGAGCGGTCGTGAAGCAGATCCGCAATCCCAATCGAGAGGGGTGAAGCCCGATGCCGTACTGTGCAGCGCTCCTGGTCTCAGAAATACTGTTGGAACTGATGCCACTTATCCTGTATGAGCTGGACTTCGTGACTCGCCCACCTCTTGTCGAGGCGTCCGAATAACTATGGACTGAGCCTGCGCTGGCCCAATCGCATCCGGTGCCGTGCCTCCCCATCCCACTCCTCCGCTGGCGGCACCACGAAACTATCGCGCGTGCTCTGTCCGTGTCCACCGCACTCACCTTCGGTCACCGAGTAGCCCAACGAGAGACGAGTAGCGAGGGCGCTCTTCTGGCCTCCCACAGTCGACGTCAAGTTCACCATCTCTTGCCTCTGGGCTGGGTACCTTCTTTCGTTGAGCCCTCTACCGGCTGGGCTGTGCCGCGTTGCCCGTCAGGTCCTGCATTCACAGGGGAGCGTTCTTCTACAGCCAACATTTAAGTCGGGCCTGTCCTCCTACAGGGGGATTCTGGACGAAGAAAATGAAATAGTAAAACAATACCCCCGAATGGTCAAACAAATACTAACCAAACTAGTCCCCAGATGCTAACCAAAATAGTCCCCAGACTTTTTATACTATTTTTGAATTTTCCCCCTGTAGAGGGACGCGCCCGACTTAAGCCAACATCATGCCTGTGAGCGGCAAGGGCAGAACCCCACCGCCAAGGTTATATTGTTGCCCACCGCCAAAGCTAAAGTAGGTTGGAACATCACAGCGCCAGGGTCCAAAACAGCAGCCCCGTGCGGACGACTCCATCCGGACGTCGACACCTCGGTGAGCACGAGTCGAGCCTCCGAGCCTTCCGCCCCGGGAGGCGCCCCGGGCGGCCGCGAGAGGCCCCCCCCCGCGAGGCCCCCAAACAGCCCCCCGCGAGCCCTCCACGAGGCCCCCGCGAGGTCGGCCAACGCGGGCCCTCCTTCGTGTGGGAGCCTCCCTTTGTGCCGCGCGCCCCTGCCTCGTCCGGGACCCGCGCCCGTGCCCGCTCGCCTGCCTCTCCACGAGCGTCGCTGCCCGGCCGTCGCCGCGCCAGGCCTCTTGGCTGGGCTGCGCCCTTCCCAGGGCGACGATGGTCGCAGTCCGGAGGAGGAGGAGGAGGAGGAGGAGGAGGAGGGAGGGAGGGAGGGAGGGGGGGAGGAGGGAGGGAGGAGGAGGAGGAGGATGAGGGAGGGAGGAGGGGAGGAGGAGGGAGAGGAGGAGGGAGGAGGAGGAGGAGGAGAAGAGGTCCATTTGTATCTCCTCGCCGCGGCTTGAGCTGGAGTGCGGCAAGCTCG